CTGGTGAATTTAATTTTCCAGTGTGAAGATTCAGAACCTTTCAGGCAGCCTGTTGACTTGGATCAATATCCTGTAAGTTGTTCTTAATATCCTTCTCAGAGTCTTTTTTGTTTCCACTTGCTTTCATAGGGAAATAATTTTAGATAAATTTATATTTTCTTAGTTAAAAGTAGTTTATTGAGGGATAATCTACAAAAACAGTCAATTGAGCCTGAGCTCAAATTGATTTGTTCCTTCTCTTTCTTTTAGTTGTTCATGGTATTCTCTCTAACTTTTCAGTCCCTTTTTTTGTCTAAAAACCCAATTAACTTAATTTAAAGGAAAAAAAAAACTTCTTTACAAGCATCTAACTCTTTTCCTGTGGTCTTCTCATTTGGAGTTTGAGTCTCACTTCAGGTTTTAAAAACATCTTAAAGTTCTCTAAAACACATTAACAGGAGAGAAAAGAAAAATGAGGTGTTTTGATTTGGGGGTTTTTTTGTTGTTTTTTACCCCAAATCAGTTGTTTCTTACAGTAAAATTCACGGGCTAACGAAGAGGAGACTTTAAATCAAGTAGTGTCAGCAAAAACGTTGTTTTCTGCTGTGGCAGGTGCTTGTTTTTCACTGCTGGTTAAAATAATCTGTGTCATTTTTAGGTGAAGATAATCTGTGTCATTTTGAGGTGAAAATAATCTGTGTCATTTTAGCTACCCTCAAATTACAGAAAAAAACCTCAAAAGTGTTGTTTCTTCCTTCACAGAAATCCTTTTTTTTTTCCCCCCTGTGTTTCATCCAGGATTACAGAAACATTATAGACACTCCAATGGACTTTGGTACAGTGAAAGAAACTCTGGAAGCTGGGAATTATGACACTCCAATGGAACTGTGCAAGGATATAAGGCTAATATTTAGTAATGCAAAATCTTATACTCCAAACAAAAAATCAAAGGTAGCTGTAAATATTTTGGGGGGGTCATGAATGTCTTAATGAAATGAGGTATTATTTTGGAATATTACATGGGACTGCATGTGCTTTTTCTACTGCTTTTTCTGTATAGTTTTTAATTTTAGAGCTGTTATTCTTGGATAAAAGGATTTGGTTTTAATATGAGCCACTTCCTTACCTAGATTTACAGTATGACCTTGAGATTGTCAGCACTGTTTGAAGAGAAAATAAGAAGAATTGTTTCAGATTTCAAAAACGGGCAGAAACAGAACGAAAAGCTCCGAAGGAACCAGAGGTACACCAGGAGATTCAATAATCAGAGCTCAGTGCAGCAACCCAGCAAAATGCTCAGGTAATCATTATCAAGATGTAGACACTTATATTAATCTTGACTGTCACATTGAGTCTGTGAAGAGAACAGTTGGTTTATTAAATGGTTTGCAAGCTCCTTGAGATTTTTTATAATTCTGTTGCAAAAAAAAAAGTGGGCTTTTTGTAGCATAAAACTGTCTGTGGAACAGCAAAGGGACAGAAGAGTAGGAAAGGTTGGAGGTTCACTGTTGGGGTTTTTTTCAATATTTGAGTCAGGGAGTCAATATTTAATTTGACTGAAATAACGAGGAGTGAAACAGTAAGTTTGCATAAATTACATACTTTATCATGTCCAGAGTAAAGTCAGTCCTGTGGAATTTATGGAAGTTGTCACTTGCATTCATTTGGCAGTTGGATTTACCTTTTCTCTTTTGAAGGCAAACAAAACTTTGGCACAATTGCTGTTTGACATAATTAACTCATATTCTTAATTTATATGTGGGATGAAGTGGGACAAAATACAGAAGCAAAACATGGTAAATTATTAAAACTGAGCTGCTCCCTTTCTGCTGCTGTCCAGTCTTTCTTCTGTGGCAGTGAAAGCGTAGGAATAAGAGTTTTAAGGTAAAAAAAATAAATCTAATTTCAGGGGGTTGCTTTTACATTTTCAGATAAAGAAAGACACACCAAGGTAGGGAGAAATTGTGCTTTGAAACTGCCTGTCTGCTCATACCTGGAGAATTGTATGGGACTTGTTTGGGACTACCTGGGAGAGGGTTTGGATGGCAGAAAAAGCATTAGACACCTTGTGCCCCTGGATGAATGTCTGGAAATCTTGCAGTGTAAGAAACCAAGTGCTAAAATGGTTCTGAGTGTGAAAACAGGTGGCTGAATGTGACTGTGTAAACAAGTGGCTGAGCAGGACTGAGGTGGCACTGGAATGTGGAGGAAGGAGGAATCAAATCACTGAGTTTCTCTTTATTTTAGACAGTGAATTTTCTCTGAGGTTACACCTTCTGTGTGTCTTGGAAACTCAGTTTGTTGTGGAATAATGTTAGTTTGCCTTGGTGTGAGGCTGGTGGGCAGTGAACCAGGCTGGGAATTCAGGAGGAATTGAGGCTGCTGTTTAAATTTCCTGGTGAACAGTAAGAGGACATTAATTGCCTGGAGGACATTGAGCATTACATTGCTCAGAGCAGAGAAAGAATGTCTCCTCTTGTATGACTTCACCAGGAGTGCAGACTTATTTTAATGAAAGTACTTAATGTTCAGCCTTGTCAGAGTTAAAATTGTCTCACTTTAGCTCATTACAAATGTAATTCCCCTTCCATGACCCTGAAGTCCTGTGGTGTTCCATTAGCCACATGTTGTTAAAATACATAATTACCATTCTCTGTGACAGTTTTACAACCTCTGTTGCTTTTCTTTCTTTCCTTCTTTCCCCTTTCCCTAGAAATTCGAAGCAGAAACCATTGAAGTCTCAGGCAAAAGTTGAATCTGAGCAAGAAGATTCTTTCCCCCAACCTACCTCAAGCAGAGCCGCCTGTGTCACAAGCCATAAACCGAACGCTGGGAGATACACCCGGAGCTCCTCCGGAGAATCCTCGGATGGTGTGCACCTGGCAGCCTTTGAGAGGAATGGCAAAGCCAGAGCCACAGCACTGACCAACTGTTCTGCCTTATCATCAGGTCAGCAAGTTTAGAATTTATAGATTTGTAATATTATAAACTTGTTTTAGTGAGACCCCCCCCTGCAGAGCTGCTCCAGCCCTGGGGAACAGC